TTAACTGAGCTTCGTAAATGCATATCTTCTCATGTTTCATGGTATGAGGGACATTATCTTCCCTCAAATCTACAGTTTTCTCAGCTTCTTTTGTTTGTTAGTTTCTCTTCCTTTTCATGATCACATGTATGTTGTTCCTCTTGCTGGTGTCACACATAATCTTTCTTAGGCATTCTTTTTTTCATTTTTCTGATTCATTTTGACAGATTAGCATGAAGAGGCTTGCTTTTAATTGTGCAACTTACCAAAATGTGGTGACGAAATCAGATGAAGCCCCACTATCAGAAAGGATAGCATCGGGGGTCTTAAAGGCTTTTCTTAGAACAAGCACCATTTGAGAGAAGTGCCCGTTCAGTCCACCATGGAGAAGCACACCCATCGGTGTGATCCAAGCATTGTCAACAATAACATCTAAGGCCAGAGATGGGAATGGTCTGAGAGCTTAAATTCTGAGCACCTAGTTTGCAGAAGGCTATAGTTGACAGTGAAAGCCCCAAATCCACTGGTGACATGCCCATGTGGATTAAGCATCTGGAGAATGCCTTCGGGTATTGGCCAATGAGGTGAATGACTTTGCTACCAGAGTACAGTGAACATTGAATTAAAGCTGATATCGTGAGGTTAAAATGTATCACATTATCATTTGTTCTCCCTTTGACCCATCTTAAATTTATATGTTTTTATTGGTTTTTGCTTTCTTTTGGATTGGTTCTCAACCTTCCTAATACCGTGACTCTTTAATACAGTTCCTCATGTTGTGGTGACCCCCCCCAACCATAAAATTACTCTCGTTGCTACTTCATAACTGTAATTTTGCTACTGTCATGAATCGGGCAACCCCTGAAAAAAGGTCATTCAAACCCCCAAAGGGGTCTCAACCCCCAGATTGAGAACTGTTGTATTAAGGTCTTTAAGTGTGATATTTTGTCATTGTTCTTGCAGGAGGGGCATGCGTTGTATACTGTTCTCTATGTGAAATCCCGGGTAGGTCAATCTATAGAGACAGCGACTAGATTAATAGTTTCTTTATGTTGTGTTGGAGAGGCTGGAGGTAGGTGAGGAGTGAATAATAATAATGAAGAAAAGGTTCTAAAATTGTGATGATGATTGCACGGTACTTTTTAATATGTTTAAGCCATTGGTGTGTATTGTG